TGCCTGTCCTGCTCGTGCCACCACCACTGTCTCTGGCAGTGTGGCACCGTGCTCCACCCGCAGCACGGGTCTGAAGGGCCAGGGGGGCTTTAATTTCCAGAAAAAGAAAAGATGAAAGATTGGAAAGATAAATGTTTGCTTGTATATGGTTAAAACCCTGCTTAAAATGCCTCTGTTTTCACCAGCTCTCATTCTAATCCCCCCCGGTGCTGTTACTGTGAAGGGAGATGAATAATTCATGGATGGAGAATGCCTCACTGGGCCTAATCACCACTTTAATTGGAGGTTTAGATCAGAGGCGGCTAATAGCTCCTACAGCGGGGACTCCGTGTATTGTTGACAGTGAGATCGTTGAGTGCCTTATCGTTGGCCTGTTTCAATTCTCCCAGGACACCACCGCGCATAACAGCACCGAGGTCCCCAGATACCGAAGGACACAGACCGCAGGGCCAATTAAATTTATCTGGGAAGAGCTGACAACTTTTTTAAACAGAGGAGAACCGGTGAAAGAATAATAGTGTCACTCCTTCCTGACTGCAGCCCGGCTGATGCCGGCAGAGCTGACACCGTGGGCACGTTGCCAGCATTGCTTAACATTCAGGAGCCCGCAAATTGGAGAGAGCTGGGAGGGAGCGAGCAGGGAAGGAGCAGGGTTTTCTCCCCAGTTTTCCCTCGGGGTTATGGCTGGGGACAAGAGGAAGCCAGTGCTGAGTGTTGACCCCTTTTCTGATCGCAACCAGTTCTGGTCTCGGTGAAGCGAGAACCTCCGTGGCTCAACCTCCTGCTGTCCTGTCGGAGTCGGTATGGCGTGTTTCTTGACACGGTGGATGGGCCTGAGAAGCTGTAGCCACTGTCTTTGCACAAATTTTATTAATGCTGTCAGGTTCACGTAGCTCTCATAAATGTTGTGAGCATTTCCAGCCTGTACAGATGTTGACTTCCAAGTTTGTCATTTTTCCTAAATACCAGAAAGCTTTTTCCAGACTGAATATAAGGAAACAGCTTTCCACAAGGGACTGATTTTACGTGTTGGTTTTATTTTAGTCAAGTAGGAAATAAAGTAGGAAATAAAGCAGGAAATAAAGTAGGAAAGTAGGAAATAAAGTAGGAAATAAAGTAGGAAAATTTCTAAGTAGGAAATAAATTGACGGAGCTGTATTTGTGATGGTGATGTGAAACGCTGCATGGCAAACACGTTGCCTTCTCTCTGTCTTCAGATTTGTTCGACAGCGCTGTGCTCTTTGGTATTTCATTCTCAAAGACTGAGAGTAGAAGCGGGCACTGATCGTTGAGTCCTGCTGCCTGTGCATCAGTCCGTTACGTTTCCGCGCTGGGGTCAGTATCTGGCATCCAGGGCAGAAGCATCTTCCAGAAAGGCATCCCTCTGATCCTGGTTTGAAAGCTTCCCGAGATGGCAAGTCTGCGAGAGCCCGTGGCAGTTGATCGCTCTGGTTACTGCTCCCTCCACGAGCTTTGCAAGACTGGCCTTGCCACGTCGTCCTGCCGTCCCTTGCCACGTCTCGCGGGCAGGTTGGAGGCTGCTCGACCAAGGCATGAAAACATTCCCATAGGACCCTAGAAGGTGGCTTCAGCAAGCTCAGCGTGCAAACACTTGGGGTGTTGTCAATGACTTGTCACTTGCTTTGAGTCCTCCTGGAGTCTACCTGGTACCAGGCTGTTTAAAATACATAAATACCTCCACGTGGCACCTCCGGGCACTTTGGGTGACTTCTCCTGGCACGTGCTTCTGCCTCCTTACCCTGTAGTCCTGTCTCCGACTCCTGGCAGTGTCTGGCCATGCGATGACAGCAGCCCAAGCCATGCTAAGAGAAGGACCTGGCTGCATGTTGGCTGACCTGAATGCCAGAGGCAATTTCAAGCTGAACAGACACGCATCACAGAACTGCCACATTGCTTTCTGTTTATTTCTTGCCAGATTTACTAATCGTTCAGGTAGTTTCGCTGCAGTAGAATCTCACTCCCTCATAGCCCATCTGCTCTTAGCTGATCCTGCAGGGATGCCATAAATCTGGGCTACGACGACATATCTATTTCCATGGCAACTGACCAATGTAGCAAACAAAATCATGATGTCAGAGATATCAGATCTCTGGAGAATGTGACCAGGATAGGGAAAATGCCACTTGAACCAAAATGCCTGAAATACAGACGACAAGGGGAGGATGGCCGCTGAGCTGCAGGTCCTGCACACCCTGCTCTAAGGACTTTCCAATGTCGAGCGGAGCTGGAAAACATCACCAACTGGAGGGTCTCCAGGGGAAAAATTGATCATCTCTTCAAATACAGAGTATGCTTACTGGTTTAAGCTCGGACCTGTCCATTCCTCCTGAGCCGCAGGTTGCTCTGTGCTGATGTCCCTCTCCCTGCTCACGGGATGAACATCACGGGCATCATCTTGCCATGAGAGCTGTCTCGCGCCGTGAGATGCAGGGCGAAACCTGCTGAGGCAGCAGATGCCCAGGACCCCTGCTTGCTGCTGAGCCTGGAGCCCCCCATCACACAGAGGTCACAGGAACAAGGCTGCTTTCAGATGCTCACCAAGAAGACCACGCATTAAACCAGGGGGTGGGAATGCTGGGGAGCTCTGGGTCGCAGGACCGTCTTGGAGCTTAGCAGCAGTCATTTGTGATACTGTGTCAGATTCCCTGGCTTTGAAAATGGAAACCTGGGGAAGAATGTTGTGGTTTTGATCTCTGCTTTTCTCCTATGATGTTTTATGTACAGTGTATTGATGTCTCGTAAAACTGAGATAATCCCTTGCAATTCTCACACGGTTAAGCCTTTGCTTTCTCAGTCAAGCCCAGGCTATAGAGAAGCAGTGAGCCACTGCAGTCGTCATTGTGCTCTTTCTTTTCACATCTTTGAGTAGGTTTCATGGTGCTTTATTTATTTATTTATTTATTTTAAAGACAGCTTCATTACTGAGCTACGAAGCTGTGCTGATGTCTTCGAAGACTGGCCAAGAGAGACTGTTCGGGGCTGGAGACACATTTGTTTTCCTAGGCATTTCCAACCCTGCCTGCTCAGCGAACAACGCCGTATTGCACCGCAGTGACATTTGCATGCAGACATACGATGTGATCGAAGCCTTCCTGAAGGGTAACCCCCTGCTAGGAAGTTCTTTAATGCCAGCACAATCTGCAGATGCCATTGATAGACGAGCAGCTGTGCTTTTGCATCCTTGATTTTGTTGTTTCCCAGAGGCTGTCCACTGTTTCAGTCTTGTTTCCCTTCGTAGGTTCCGTGGGCACCCCGCTTCCCGGGGTGGAAGTGCGCATTGCCACTGAGACCTTGAAGAATGGAGGTCGTTCCTACACCATCCATGCTCAGGGAGATGAAGAAGGCACACAGGTAGTGCTCAGCCATGTTCTCTGCTTCGCTTTGTCTCATGACCTCAAGTTCTCTCCTCCTCAGCCCCTTGGAAGCTGTTATTCCCAGGAACTCAGTGGAATTCCTATTTAAAGTTTTCTCTTCCTTTTTATGGGTTACTATAGCCATGGTACTTTATGGGCCACGAAAGCCTTGTCCTTGCTGCATAAATGGACAACATCTGGGAGAGAACACCCCTTGTGTGGGTGTGCAGGCTGAAGGCTGTGGTATAAGGTCTATGGGCTATGTTATAAGATGATACTGTGTCTGCTGAGGCTGTTGATGCCCCAGAGAAGGTGGTGACTTAAGCAGTGCCTGGCCTTTGAAAGCTGGGACAAAAGGCTGAAGTCTGCTGCAGAAGTTAAGAACAGTGGAATTCAGATAGACCCTACTCTGGTCTGAAGAGTCACTAAACATCTGCAGCCTGGAGGAGAGGATGAGGGATTTCTCACTCTAGAAATAGGGTCTGTGTTTATTTCAGTGGCTTTGATCAGGGGTTTAGGGGTGAGAATTGGAAGGGCAGAACTGGTAGCCTTGTTTTCCGTGATAGTCCAGCTCCATGCTGAGCTGCACCTGTCAAGTGATATCTGCACTAGCAGTTCTGGTATCTCAGATGTTGGATATCATAGAATCACAGAATGATTTGGGTTGGAAGGGACCCTGGGGACCATCCGGTTCCAAGCCCCCTGCCATGGGCAGGGACCCCTTCCACTAGACCAGGTTGCTCCAAGCCTCATCCAGCCTGGCCTTGGACACTTCCAGGGATGGGGCATCCACAGCTTCTCTGGGCAACCTGTGCCAGCGCCTCACCACCCTCTCCGGGAATAACTTCTTCCTGATGTCCAATCTAAATCTCCTCTTTACCCATTAGCCCTTGTCCTGTCACTCCCTGCCCTTTTAAAAAGTCCCCCCAGCTTCCTTGTACCCCTGATGGTGAATTGGTTGCACCTCTTCCCCCTTGAGCTGCCCCCGTGTTGGGGTGCTCTGTGTTCCCCGCTGTGTTAGCAGCCCCCAGCCCAAGGCCCAGGGTGTCATGCTGCCTCAGCCCCTTTCTCTCCCCGCAGAAGCGGTTATCCAGGGTCTGCAT